TCTCGATTTTGAAGCAGTTGCGCGCTTCGTAGCGCTCATTTCGTAGCTTTACAATTATCTTGCATTCGATCACTGTGCCATGACTTCGTAAGGAAATGTATGTGGATAAAATCTCCAAATCCAGTGCAACGCCGAAAGTCGAAAGACGCTTCAGGCAACAACTGCGTTGTTCGTTACCCGATGAGACACTGATGATGGATGATGTAATTATGGTCTGAAACATCGCTATTGAACAGAATCTTTGGTGTTGAGACGTATGTTCGGCATTATTAACCATTGAGCTACTTAGCTACTTCCGTAGAGGACTGATTTTTGAATTCACTGACACCGAATCGATGCCAGTTTAGGAGGTGATAATTGCATCGTCGTAAGTTGTTGTTGTTGTAATATAGCTTTTCGACACTGTTCCCTGAGCTTATGCGAAAATTATGACTTCCGTACCGCAACTGACGTGTTTCTTGACGACTGATCGAAAAATTTCGATGCACCTCCGAGCCCTGGTCTGTTTCTTGCTTCGGTATGTGACTCAGCCGATCGGATAAAATTTTCACCGATCCGTTTCTGAACGCTCATGTCTCTACTAAGTGACGATCGTCGCTTTCCCATGGAACGCCGACGATTATCGAGTATGGCGGTTGGCACAGTTCCAGTTGGCAGTTTTTCGGTGTGCGAAAACTTCAGCCCTGTACGTCGAGGACCGTTGAGGTCATTTGGTGGAACTGAAAACGAGAACGTCGCATTGAGTAATTGAATTTGAATTGAACTTGCTGCTTGAAATTTAGTTATACAGGGCTAAGCCTTTCAGCTAAAGAATCGGACATGCAAACGAATGGCTGCATATCTGATTTAACGAAATTCGAGTTTAAATAATCTAGTTCAATTTTCTGATTCTGGGCCCGTAGCTCTGTACATAGTTGCTTGAATGGTTCACGGTTAGGGTACTAAAAATAGCAGACGCGACGCGTTAAGTGGAATTCTACGACCCCTGCACCCGAAAAAAGCTCCATTCTGGGAAAAGGGCTTAATTTTGCCACCAGCTCAAAAAAAAACGGTCCTCTTCTTGACATTGCGCTTATCACTGAAAATTTCTACTTAAAAACTGGTGCTCTTGCAGTTTCTAGTGGAAATTGAACGGGTGTTCGAAACCATTGTACGATCGACAGCAATCTAACCAAGAGCGAATTCAAGGCTTCGAGGGATCTCCGACGGAATGATTCTAGCGTGATAGTGTAAAGGCAGACAAGGGGAATGCAACGGTTGTGATGAGCAGGAATGACTGTCATAAAAAGTGTAACACGGCACTTCGGTCTGGTTCCTCTCGCTTGGCTGAAGACCCAACGCAAGAGTTGATTGTCTGCTTGACGAACTTTAGTTCACACCTGGGAAATAACAAAGAACTTGAAACTGAAAAAGCCAAACGGATGTCAGCCAAGTTAAGGATCAAGAACTTCCAGAGTTCTACTGCTTACCTAAAATCTTTAAACTTGCCATGCACGTGCGTCCTACAGTCTCCTTTATATCCAGGTTGATTCAGCCAGTTCTGGTGAGTCATGCCGGATACTTAAATTCGCATCTAAAAGACTCTAGTGATTTCGTCCAACAGCTGCTTGGTTTACGCGTCGAAGAAAATACCATTTTAGTTAATTATGACGTCTCAAGCCTGTTTACTGGCATAATTCTCAAATTCGTCTTTGATGTGGTAAAGGATAAGGTGGAAAACAACACGGAGCTGAAACAGCAGGCTACGCTTTCAACAAAGTCCAGTCCGGGATATTCTCAACATCTGCCTTGTGGGCTATAACCTATAACTCTTTTTGGTATGACGGTACGCTGTTCCAACATAACAACGGTGCTCCAGTGAGCAATCCCTTTATCGCCAGCCGTTGCTAAAATTTTTCTGGAACATTTGGAAACAGTTGCCTTCCGAACATCAACCGGCAACATTCAGCCGGTGTTTAATAAACGGTTGTTCGGATGGATATGTTGGTCATCTGCAAACGTGGCACTGAACCTTGTTTCTTAGACCATTTTCACAGGCCCGTCTAACCAGACGACATCGAATTCACTAAAGAAGAGAGCATTTTACGATTCTTGGATGTCTCGGTTACGTGGAAGGAGACCACGTGTATAACAGAAGTCTATCACTGACCGACGTACACCAGTAGTTTCCTACAATTCTAATTCCAGTCATCCGTATGCAGTAATGAAAGGCAGCCGATGTAAAGAACTGAGTTCTGCTATACACGCATTCGAAAAAAACTGAATTACTTGAGTAGAGCTTTAAAAAACAGTAGATACTCTGAGCGGTTGTAGAAGGAACCACCCGTCAACAAATGAATCATCCGTACACGGGGAATGAAGTCAAAATCCGTGAATTTACCGAACACAGTATTTTTGCATTACATATACTAAAACTGAGGATAGAGCTTCGTAGGACTGTCCTACCCCTCCGCTTGTATTCAAGTCTCAGCTCCTCCTCCGTTGGAGTCGACTAACGAATGTAAAAATGAATGTGCCGCAAAACAAACAATGCCGATGGATCAGACATATATATCCTGTAAATGGGGAGAAGTCTACACTGGGGAAAAGGTTAATTCCATTGACGAAAGGAGCCAGTAACACATCGCCTAACTTTACGAGATGGAGCAACATTGACTTAAGAGATAAAAGCAGTGCGCAACAAGGGTCAGGTAGAAAGCAGACGAACGGTCCCATGGTTTTTAAAGAAGAATATGAAAAGAGCTCCGGTGTTGTTCAACACTGTGTCATCAATAATCGTGAAATTGATTGGCAGCACATTCTGTGCTAAAAAGAACTACAAATTTACCAAGATCAAGAAGGCTGTGTTGATCCAGGCCAACAGATGTATAAATAGGGCCAATGGCATGCATCTGAGCAGTATCTGGACGTTACCTGTCAAAAAACACGATATCACCATTAAGCCATTCGTTGCTCCAAACCATGACTCTCGTATTAGACAAAACTTTAACTTGACGATTTGATTTTGCAGATCTGTTTATATTAATGTACCTTGACGACGAGCCGAGTTCGATTCGAAACATCGGTGATTTGTGTGTTAAAATATGTATGCTATATACATATTGTATGGTATATATCAGAGCCACCGCTCTTATTAAAAACGATGTTTCTGAAGCTGGTACTCCTTGCATGCTACGTCGTAGACAACCTTGTCAAGCAGGAGCAAAGGGGCGGTTGAATATGCCATGAAATGTAATCTTGGAGGAGCTATGCGTTCTTCAACGTATTTCGGCGAACGAGCATGTTTTGTAAGAAGTGGGACCCTTAAATTTACAGGTTAGTTAGATATACACTTTCACCGTCATGGATTTTCATACGACCCATTTCTAAACCGGCATATTGGACGGTTATAAATTTGCGGCGCTCCAGCTGTGCAGTAGCAACAGTAAGGTTTTGAGATACTTTAATGCGTGATGCTGGTCCGTGTTCAGTGTGCGTTTGAAACCTTGGAGCATCCACAGTTGAGGTGTGTAACTCACTCGAAACTGGTGTTCCATGTCAGCGACTGCCTTTTATCCATCGTTGCCTTGAGAGACGGTGATGCTACCCGTCGGCGAGCCGTCTCACTTAATTGCTACTTTTTATATTGCGATTTTTTATCATGCCAGGCCGCTTAACTACTGGAGCTTACGCTGTTGTTTGATCGGACCGCTGATTATGGTCATTAATCTCGGTCCAAGAATGTCGAATCGCTCGTATCTTGTTCAATCGACTCGTTGCCACGTCCTCCGTGACGGCTGATTTATGCACTTGCCTGGGCGAATGGCGACGACGATTCCCATCCATGTGATGAAGGGTCTGCGGACTTGCTGTCATTAGCGTCGAGGTCCCTGACTGCTCGGCGAAGCGACGTCTGACCGCATGAGCAAAACAGCACCTTGAAACTCGATATGAGTTATGACACGTGCGCCTTCAGCCCTGGCATAGCTAAAATCGTTGAGTATGATTATGTGCAATATGAAGGACTTTACCGAGGTCGACACACATCTATGCCTTATTGAGGAAATTTTGTCCGGAGTAGGATATGCCGAGCACAACCTCGAACAGAAGAATTGAAGGTATTGGTGCACATTAATCCCGAAGAAAGTATGGGGAAAGTTGCTGCGTTTCGTGTTGCCTACCACCCTCAGAAAGGACGGGCGATGGCGACCTATGACAAAGTTTGGGAAGATATGCAGAATAATGTGTCTAAGACAGTGTGTTATGTGGGAACTGAAAGGAAACAATATGTATATTTTTCAGTTATATTTCTGGCTTCCAACGTACCCGAAAGCATAACCGATTGCACGGAGTTTACTTTAACTAGTAAATACAGCTCCAATTTATTATTTTAGCGAGTAAATTCCATTTCCAAATTGATACGATAAATCGTTTTAATGGTTAGCATTTTGGCGAATGTTAGCGAAAATTGTTGGTTAGCATTTTGGCCGTCTGTTCCATATCATTTTCCTTGTAAAGTATTGTTCCTTGTTGGACATAGGGGCCTGCAAACAATCATTTGTATTTAGCTTAGCCCTGATGCTGCAACGATCTATGTTGGGAAACGCGTCGGCAATAAACTGTTCTACTATCTGTTATATTTAGTGTTCTGAATCATGAATCGTTACAGCAGTGGACCCAGATTCAACAACCTACAGTAATATCTAAATTCTGGGCAGTAAAATTAAATGGAATCTCTGAACAAAGGCTAGTTTCAATATTTTGCACTATATCGATTTCTCATCATTCACCTTCGGCCCTTTCGTTTTGATTTGCACTGAAAATAATTTTTTTCGATCCATATTTGCCTCAGTGGTTCGTAAAAATATGCTAGTCGTAGGGACAGCATATTTTAACGACCGTTTCTTGGTTTCTCACAACAGCCTCTGACAGTTATTTTAATGGTGAACTTATTCCGCCCTAATTTACCCTCTCCACTCATGTCTGTTTAAGTCACCTACCCGATCCATCGGTTGTCGGTTATGCGCATGGCACAGGACAGTTTGAGTCCGTTTCCGATTGTTCCCCTGTTGCTTTGTTACCTGCGTGTCCCTTCCATCTCGAAAACGCCCGTGCTTTCTTCGAAATATTTGTCGCATCCGCTCTTCGAGCGACAGCGAAAACAGACACCTTTGCAGATTGTTCGAAGAGTTGGCACTCTGTCCCACGTGTTGGTCATGAGTTTCGTGGAAAAGGTTTTGTTTTTCTCGTCAGCTCACGGATTAGCTCTTTACGTGTTGGAAAAAAGGGCGTTTTGCTTTTTTTGCCGATGAAAAGGGCAATCGCTTTCTAAGCGTCGTCACAACCGGTCGAATAGTCAATTTGCGGAACGACTCCCGCTGTGCCAATCGATTCGCGTTCTGTTCGTGCTCTTACGTTCGGTTGCGAGTCTGCCACGCTGAGTCTGAGTTGAGACTCGCCCGTAAATCAGGTCCTACTTGTCAGGCAGTGCGATGTAAAGATGCTGAGGTTGAAACAGAACAGGGGACACCAACTTTGACGTTGACGCTTTTTAGCAATTGCTGTATTGGAGGCAGACCTTGGGGAAAAAAGATGACTCGGGCGCAGTCCAGCTACGTTCGCAGATGCGTCTCTTTCGTTCTTCTGTGCAGACCCCATCAAAATTCGCTTGTCGTGCAGGGAGTCAACACTGGTGGCCAGTGGAAGTTTTGCTTTGGCTGGCGAAACGACGGCTTTGAAGGTTTTAAGATGGAATGACAAGTTTTTAGCCGCTAAACACTGATTCGCCGGTTCATTATTCGGCAAGTCGGAAAAAGTCCGAAATCGCCAAATAACGAGGCCATGTTTTTGCAACTGCTCCACTGCAAACACCGTCGTAACAATTGATGACTTGGTTGTTTAAAGCGTATTTCCAGGGCGACGAGTACTTCGTACTTCTCTGACACTGCTGACGTCCGTCTCCTTCTCGTGCTAGAATGTGACTTTGCTAAGGCAGCCCTTCTAGAATGGCTGTAAATGGCTGTACAACAGACAGGTCTAAAAGCCTTTCGACAATAATGGGACTGGTAACGATTTTCGTTTGCCCCTCGGGGCTAGAATCTGGTTGAAAATTTAAGTTCTTTCATAATTATGCTATTACGTTGGCGTTGAGGAACTTGCTACAAAAGGTCGATGACTTTTAGGCGGAAGTCAGCTTTGAAACTCTGAGGTGACAGGTGCGAATTCATTGAAGGGGTGACCTTTGTCTTACCTGCGAATTGTCCTGAGTCAGCTGACAAACGGGTAGCAAGTCGTTGATGATATCCACCACCGACCATGCTGTCCCATACGAGCGCCCTTGTGGCTGCATTTGGCCCACTTGTGACTCCATTTGACTCACTAGTTGACTATCAAATGTGAAAATCGACGCAAATGGTAAACGCGAAAATTCTCATACTTCAACTTACGGATCGTCAGTGAGAGAATCTGAGGTCCATTAGTCAACCCGTGTTGACGTAATTAGAAAACTCAAACTCGGATGCCGTGAACTAACCAATCAAGTCGTACAGATAAACCATGTTTAATGGTCTTCATCATGAATTAGGCAAAAGGGGGTTGAAAATATTTTACGTCAATGTCAGGAAGACATTTCCTCATGATCCCCGTTGCACTGACTAGAAAAGTGACCGTATCATTCTCAAATGGTCATATGCTGAACTCGTGACTCACTGAGAGCACTTAGTAAGTCTTATTCTAAAGGAAACATGTGTCTCGACTCCTGTCCACGGGCACCTAAATGTTTTTCTTTCACATGGGACACGGATCCGTGAGTGTATTCGTTAAACGCTGCCACGTGATCAGGCTCCTCGTCTCTCCAGTTCGTTACCGACCAATATGTAATAAAGCATTGGCTTAGTGTGAACATAGCGTAAATTATAAGACAGACTTTGTGATGCACTGCTGCGGAGCATTCCTCATTCGGTTTTCCGCGTAAAAATCCCTCTGTTGAGGTACCAATTGCCCTCGGCTCCATATTTGATGATTTTTCACTACTGTGATGTTTACTGGCTAGATCCGGAGTATCTGAAGAAAACAACCTGCAGTCGGATCCTGTCAAATTGTAATGAGCGTATATTTATTTTTATGTCATGCTGGTTGATCTGCCCCACTCTCTCGGAGAACGGACAACGATTTGGCGGGAAAGGAAATTACAGAGAAATATAGTATGCCACATATACTTTTAGTGGATTTTATAGTGTTTAGCTACTACGAGAGTCGTAGAAGTTGCCTGTTATCAATTCAGAAACGATCGAGGTCGACGAGGTTTCGACAGTAGCTAAATCTAGATCGTTGTAGTGCTCTGAGACTCTTAAGACAGTTGTGTTAGAATAGACTTACTTTGTTTGAAACTCTGAAAGGAAAGAAAGAAGGCCATAATTCATATTACAGCTCTCAGGAAGACCGGTAAAATGTTTCTTCGCTACCGTGTATGCTCTCACCCAAAGAAAATGGCAACTTGTGAGTAAGTAGGACAGAAAAATCGACAAAAATCAGGCAATGGAGAAAGAAAGAGAGGTTAGTCAAGACTCGGTAAACCCGGTTTAGCAACCTCTGCTTAAACAGGAGCCTTGTGTCGTTGTCACTTTCAACGGCCATGACTTGTTTAATATTCATATCTGTTTAAGATGGATTGAGTCATTAAGATTTCCACTGAATGATACCGAGATGACTTGAAATCCAAGCCCCCGACGCCTGGTCTTACATTCATACCTTTTCAACTGAGATGCAGTAACTGACTAACCGTTGTTGCTAGATCTAGCGAGGTCGTCGGAGTTTTGGAAACGCTTTTGTCTTTGCTGTCGGAGTAAGACGTTTACCTGTTGTACGGTGATATTTTCTGGTTGTCTTTCTTCATGTTTTTTTTTAAATTTCTTTTTGTAATTTACTTTCTATGACATTCAAGCTTTGTTTTGCATTCGTTATGCTATAAGATATGATTCTGCAGTGATTCGGCGAAATTTAAGCAATGCCGTATTCATTCTGTGGTTCTATAGTATTAAACCCTTAAGAATGTGTATGAATTTATGATCGTTATTTATGGTTTATGATCGTTGTTAATGACACCGATATATCGTTCAAAGTTTCCAAGTCACCTCCCTTGTTCAAATACGCCAGGAAATAAGTGAACCCGCACAGCAGTGCCTTTCGAAACACTGTCATTGTAAACCATTAGTTGAAACTACCGCTGCTATCATACTTCCTTTCACGAGTCATAAAACAGGCAGCAGTCAATAGTGATACGGCTAGACATATGTGATAGATATGTGACTTTGCTGTTGCTGCTTTGTTTCTGATCGTTTTGAGGTCTTATCTCCTCATTTGAAATTTCTAATGTTTACTTCTGAAAAATGTTTCAACAGGATTTAACACGTACCAGAGTGGATCGGTTGTGAACAAAACTAAAAGGATGATTCGTATTTGTTTATTGCCTTTGAGTTGACGAAGTGTTACAGTGACCACTGTTTAACGTATGTTCGATTTGTTATCAGTTCAAGTCAAGTGTTTTTTTTTGTTTTCTGGGTATCTTAAAGATTCGGTCGTGCCAAAAAATAAATGATGCCGTTTTCTGAATCACCTTCGGGATTTCGTGTCTGCATCCTTGCTACGTTTCATTAGAATAATGTCTTATCATCGAGGCTGATCGCATTCGATAGCCAATTAGCAAAAGCCTGTATCTGTTGAGAACGTGTCTACTGAATGTGTGGCTGTCTGCCTAATTCTGGATATGAGCGCCGTGTGTTGTGGTGCAGGACCACAAACGAGGCTCGCTCTGTTTTAATAAATTCATATCGATCTGAATTTGTTTTAGTAATAGCGTAGGTGTTAATGTTTTGTTAATTGTTTTTTCTTTTATCATAGGGCTATGATAGTGATGAAATCCGACGTCATGCCAGCAGGGTCCACGCGAATCAAAACGCGGAAGTGGAGTACCGGCCGAAAGTTGAACTGGAAGCGGCCGTTAAAGAAATGATGGACACGTGCAAAATAATCGGTTTCCACAACCCGACCGGTGAAGGCTGTTCCAGTGCGTTGCTGAAGGGCGACGACGAAAGCATCGAAAGTCTGCGCAAGTCAATTCTTGGTTCTAGTCAGCTGGGGCTCGGGCCGTTTGACCCGGACTCGGGCAACCAGAGTCTGTTTTCCGGCTACCTGTGTGCGGCTTTAGCGCGGATCAGCTCGGAGAGGTTGAAGTGCAATTTATGCGGCGAGTCGATATCGAACAAGCCGGACGCCGTAGTGTACCATCTGCGGGGCCACATCAGTTTCAGCAAGTTCGTCTGTCCTTACTGCGGCATCTACATCGAATCGGCGTTGTGCTACGAGATGCACCTGAACTCGGAGCACGCAGACATGGACAACCAGCGACCGATCGACTACGTGCGCAAGATCCTGTGCAAGGAGCTGAGCGAAATGGTCGAGGTGCTGTTCGACGGCATCAACCAAGCGCTGACGCTCAAGTGCGAGCTGTGCGGTCAGATGATCCTCTGGAGGTGGTCCTCGCTGTTGATGCACGCGCGCCAGCACGAGAACTACTATCCGTACCAGTGCGGCATCTGTGACACGATGTTCCCGGATCAGATGTTGTTCACGCAGCACCTGCTGCAGGCGAACCACCCGGTCAAACAGACGACCATGCAGGTGATTTCCAACTACGAGGCGGAAGAGCAAAGTTTCCGAAACTTGTCCAAGTGCTTCCCGTTGTTCACCTCTCAACTGTTGGACAATTTCGCCGCCTCCAGAAACGACGACACGCTCACCAAAGCGAGTGCGAGTTCGGCCGTCTCACCGGCCGACGATGCCCAAGGCAACAGCAGCTATAAGAGCCCGAAACTACACATCCAAACGTCCGGCAAAGCGACGTTGCATTGCAAACTTTGCCAGGCGAAAATCTCGCGCAACATGTCTTGCCTTATAGCCCACGCCAAAGTGCACCTGGCCTACAAGCCACTAAAGTGTGAATATTGTAACTTTCGACATTTCGCCATGTCCAAAATTCGTCGACACAACGTGCGAGTGCACGGAAGCAAACCGGTGAAGGTCAGCTATCACCCGGTGGCGGACATCGGCCGGCAAATCAAGGAGATGAAGCTGGAGTGCTTCGGCAGCTGTCTGTCGAGCAGGAACTTGTACCAACGTTCGGCGGCGTCCACAGCCGGCAACGAAGAAGACGCGGTGGTGGACGACGAGTGTCCGAGTGCGGCCGAGAACGTCGACACGGCCCTCACCGGACAACTGCCGTTTCTATTGCCGTTTTCGATGGACGCCGGCAAGGCCTTACAGATGGCGGCGATGGCCGGCAACGGCTCGGATGCGCGTTGTTCGACGGCGACCGGGAGCTCGACCAGTGCCGCCGCCGGCAGTATCCTGAACCGACTGTCGGCAGCGACGGTCAGTCTCGACGAGGTGCTGAAACAGGAGGGCTGCTCGAGCACTGCTGACCATTGCGACCTCCCAGGACTGGGCAAGAAAATGTGTTGCATGTGCAACACGTACATCGCCAACAACCCGAGCTCGTTCGAGAACCACGCCTGCAAACACCTCGACTACAAGCCGTACCACTGTCAGTACTGCACTTACCAGTCGTACATCCGCGGCAAAGTCAC